AAAAAAAAAAAAAAAAAAGGTAAATAAATTATATGGAGAAAGAGCTTCTTAAAGAGACAGCTTACCTAAATCTGAAAATTCTGTCTCGGTTTATTTAGCCTCATGTTGTTTCTTGTTTCCAATAAACGAAAGCATACAGTGTCCAAACAAGCTCCAGAAAAGCACCAAAAATTATCATGTGACCCTGGAGCACAAAAGCAGTCTTAAGTCGCTGGGGTATATTTGTAGCAATAGCCAAAAATACATTGTATGGGTCAAAATTATAGATTTTTCTTTTATGCAAAAAATCATTAGCATATTAAGTAAAGATCATGTTCCATGAAGATATTATGTAAATTTCCTACCGTAAATATATCAAAACTTAATTTTTGATTAGTAATATGCATTGCTACGAACTTAATTTGGACAACTTTAAAGATGATTTTTCTCAATATTTTGATTTTTTTGCACCCTCAGATTCCAGATTTTCAAATAGTTGTCTCTCGGCCAAATCCTAACAAACCATACATCAATGGAAAGCTTATTTATTCAGCTTTCAGATGATGTATAAATCTCAATTTCACAAAATTGACCCATATGACTGGTTTTGTGGTCCAGGGCCACATATACAGTATTTTAAATTCACAGAATTAAACAAAAACATATTCAGCACAGCATAAATCACCATGTAGTGCGCTCACCTGCTTCAGGACCCAAAATCATCCTCTTTGCTTTTCGCTTCTTTTTCCTGTCCTGCTGAGGACTGTCCTACAAACACACAAGAATCCAACTGAGCTCTTCATGTTGAACTCCAAGCCCAAACTACAGTATTAGCACATAATGATAACTGTGAATGAGACCGTATCGGACATACTAGTCTGTCTGACGCAGGGCTTCTTTGGTGTGTGTTTGGGGAGGATTCTGCAAAGAGAAAATACATGGACGACTGAGCGATTCCTGCAGAACTAAACTGTGCTTTAAACAATGTGATGAGCGCAGCTACCTAACGATTTGGCCAGCAGGCAGTCTTTCTTGATGTGAGCGTTGGAGCCACACAGATAACAGCACTTCTCCTCCCTCTGCCGCCACCGTTCGCCATCCGTCATCACTCTGCCATCGGGTCTGTTCACACCACGTCCATCAGTGTCACGTCTTTGTCTTAGCAAACCATTGAAACAAATGAATCAACCACAAACGACATCAGACTATAAGCATCCAATGTCTTTCATTTTAACGTGCAAATGTGCTCTACATTTCAAAATTTGGGGTCATTTGTGAAAGAAGTCTCTTCTGCTCACTGAGGGTAAATTTATTTGATCAAAAACACAATAAAAACAGTAATATTGTGAAGTATTGTTACCATTTATAATAACCGATTTCTATGTGAATATATGTTAGAATGTAATTTATTGCTGTGATGCGCAGCTGAATTTTCAGCATCATTACTCCAGTCTTCAGTGTCACATGATCTTCAGAAATCATTTTGATATGCTGATTTGCTGCTCGAGAAACATTTCTGATTATTATCGTGTTGAAAACAGTTGTGCTGCTTCAAAGTTTTGTGGAAACTGTGATTTGTGACCCTGGAGCACAAAAGCAGTCTTAAGTCGCTGGGGTATATTTGTAGCAATAGCCAACAATACATTGTATGGGTCAAAATTATCGATTTTTCTTTTATGCCAAAAATCATTAGGATATTAAGTAAAGATCATGTTCCATGAAGATATTTTGTAAATTTCCTACTGTAAATATATCAAAACTTAATTTTTGATTAGTAATATGCATTGCTAAGAACTTCATTTGGACAACTTTAAAGATGATTTTCTGATTTTTTTGCACCCTCAGATTCCAGATTTTCAAATAGTTGTATCTCAACCAAATATTGTACGATCCTAACAAACCATACATCAATGAAAAGCTTATTTATTCAGCTTTCAGATGATGTGTAAATCTCAATTTCACAAAATTGACACTTAAGACTGGTTTTGCGGTCCAGGGTCACATATATATTTTCTTCCACGATTCCTTGATGAATAGAGAGTTCAAAAGAACAGCATTTATTTGAATCAAAATATTTTTTAACAATTTAAATGTCTTTGCTCTCACTTTTGATCAACTGAAAGCATCTTTTCTGAATAAAAGTATTCATTTCTATTAGGGATGCACCGATACCACTTTTTCCAGTACTCGCCCGATACTTTTATTTTTGGTACTTGCCGATACCGAGTACCGATGTTTTTTTTGTAAAATTTTTTGTAAATTTTTTTAATATTGGGTACAGAAACCAAAAGGGTATGTATAATGTTAGTTGGTTAACTTAATTTATCAAATAGATACAGTCAAACCAAAATTTATTCAGACACCTTCAACATTTCTCACATTATCACAGTTTATTCGCTATAGTTTAGAAAATGGTAATAAAATATGACAAGAACTCAGAGTTACACTGTGTCAGAACAAATTCAGCTTGATAACGTCAGATCATTTTGATAGAAAGGTATGTAATAGATTACAATCAACCAAAATAATTCAGACAGCTGTTAGTATGACAGTATTTACACAACTATCAATACTTAGTCGGGCAACCCTTAGCCTCAATGACAGCCTGTAGTCTCCTGGGCATGCTGTCATCCAGCTTCATGCAAACCTCAACTTGAGTTTTTTTCCCAGACTTGGTCTGAATAATTTTTTGGACCCAAATTTGTATAAATTTTACTGGTAGTCCACTGTATGAAGAATTTTTGGGTATGATTTGTCACAGTTGTTATCGGGCATTTTAACGAGTACGAGTACAGGAGACCAGTATCGGGCCCGATACCGATACCAGTATCGGTATCGGTGCATCCCTAATTTCTATAATAAAAATCTTACTGATCCCAAACTTTTAAACAGTAGTGCATGTTCTTTATGGATTATTACAGCAGGAAATGCAGAAAAGCATGTTCCAAATGTAAATACAGTGTTGAACAAGAACTTCACCTTCTATAAAGATTAAAGGTAAAAAAGATATTCTACAACAATACCTCTTTCGCATTGGACAGTCTTTCATAAAATGCCCAATCTTCCCACAAATCCGGCAGCAGCGGTCATTGGGTGCAAGCTTGCCCTCTGTCAGCACCTCTGGGTCAAAAAAATACTCCTGCAAACACAAGAGAGACATTACGTACAATGACTTGTGAGCTGTTTTACAGAATTTGGTAACACTTTAGTTTAGGGACCAATTGCTTATTAGCATGCATATTACTATCATATTGGTTGTTTATTAGCACGTATAAAGCACATATTAATGTCCTATTCTGCATGAGCATATTTTAGATCCCTTACCTAAACTTAACAACTACCTTACTAACTATTAATAAGCAGCAAATTATGAGTTTGTTGAGGTAAAAGTGTTGTTTGGTCCCCAAACTAAAGTGTGACCCAGAATTTACATGGTCAAGATAAAGGACACAAACCATTTTGTTGGGATACTCTGGTGGGAAGTCTCTGACGGGGGCGCCGAAAACTCTGCGGGCGTTGATGAAGGCCTTCAGGATGAAGCTCGCCACTGCAAACAGCCGCATGGAAGAAAACATGCATGCATGGCACTGCGTTAGACGACAAGATATCAAGACAAGGGTCGTTTTCAAAAAGCCTGGGATGAGTCACAACAGTCAACAACTATATATTTATAAATGCGCTTAGAACACAAAAAACTTGCTCCTGCAGGTACTAATCTAAAATGGTTTAATTGATGGATAACAGCAGCTAAACACAGGTGCTTCATCTGAATACGGTGGCTGAAGGTTTATACATCTGAATATAAACTTTAATAAAGCAAAACAAAAGCATGCCATACTTCTCCGTGAGAGACCAGCTCCAAGATTATGACTCAAATCAAAGGGATCTGAAAGAAACACACAAATGAACAACTACGATCTTGCAACACACACAGCGCTGAGGAATGTCAGTTTTAAAAGTAATGCACTACATTACTGCTACTTTAAAATTAAGTATGTCATAAAATATGTACAAAATGTGTTATTTTTTGTGGTTTTCTCTCTTGCATTTTATCTCTCAAAATGAAGCATGATATTTTACAAATGTGGAAATTCTGGCTACTGACTAGTAAAATGATTAAATGTGCAAGCCCTAATTTATATAAATGTGTATAATAAATAATGAAGTAAAATGCAATAAAAAATAAAATATTAGATTTTTCTTTTATGCCAAAAATCATTAGGATATTAAGTAAAGATCATGTTCCATGAAGATATTATGTAAATTTCCTACTGTTAATATATCCAAACTTAATTTTTGATTAGTAATATGCATTGCTAAGAGCTTCATTTTAACAACTTTAAAGATGATTTTCTCAATATTTTGATTTTTTTGCACCCTCAGATTCCAGATTTTCAAATAGTTGTATCTCGGCCAAATATTGTCCTATCCTAACAAACCATACATCAATGGAAAGCTTATTTATTCAACTTTATTCGAGAAATTGACCCTTGTGACTGGTTTTGTGGTCCAGGGTCACATATATTTGTACCTAAAGGGTCCATTTTAGTACCTTAAAGTGTACATATTAGAACCTAATAGGTACAAAAGTGTACCTTTTGAGAAGGTACCACCCCAGTGACAGCTTTAGTACCTATATTTCTGAAAGTGTACATGTTCACTCTCAGAAAAAAAGGTACAAAATCTGTCACTGGGGTGGTACCTTTCCAAGAGGTACTAATATGGGCTATTTAGGTACTTTAAGTGTACCGTTTGAAAAGGTACCGACCCACTGACATATTTTGTACCTTTTTTTCTGAGAGTGTAACAGGTTATTGCTGCATATCCATAGGTTCTTCGTCTGATATTCAGCACATTTAGTAGTTTGCTCTTACCCTCGATGGCGAGGTGTTTGGAGGTCCACTGCTTCTTGAAGGTGGTGAGAGGCTCTTTTCTGCGGATGCAGACGACAGTCTCCTTGAAGTCAAACGTCTCGGTGTAAAACTGCAGCAGCCCAAACCACAGCTGCCCCACCGACTCCTTATTCTTCTTGTACCCCGGCCAGTATTTATGCTGAGGAATCAACAACAATCCCAGACTTATTGGCTATTAAACCACAAGTTCAAGGCACACATATAAAACACATTTGGAAAAAAAAAAAAACCTGTTTCCACTGGATGCTTTATGACTGTCTGACCCCTTTTGAACTAAATTTGACCGCACTACATTCCTCTGACCTTACAGAAATATTGTGGGTTCAAAGTAAAACTTTGACTCATCCCACTATTAATAAAATCACGTTTACAGTAGTGCACTTACTCTACTCATCAAAATTGCAATAATTATGATTTTTCTAACGCTTTTGAAAGAAGTCTCTAATTCTCACTAAGGTTGCATTTTTTTATTAAAAAATACAGTAAAACAGTCATATTTTGTAATAATCAGAAATGTTTCTCGAGCAGCAAATCAGCATCTTAGACTGATTTCTGAAGATCATGTGACAATGAAGACTGGAGGAATGAATACACTAGAAAACAGCTGTTCTAAATTGTAATAATATTTCACATTATCTCAGTTTTTTTGTATTTTTGATCAAAAAAGTCAGCTTTGGTGAGCAAAAGAGACTTGACTAGAAATGCACACTAAAGATCAAAGACTTTGAGGACTTTTGAAGACTTCTGTAGGGTTGTAAAAGGTGTAAAAGAGTTGGATTAGAAGATTGCACAAGCAAAGTTATTATACTAGTCTGTTAAAGTATGTCAAGTTTGTTTGTTGTTTTTGTACAAAAGCATAATTCGGGATAATAAAACTGATATAGAAGCCAAACTCCAGTTCAGATTCACTTCCACACACAGGATGACTTTAAGCAAACAAACACATTATTTTTAACCCTCTGGTGCTCCTCATTTGGGAGTCACACTTGTGATCTTTACGGTCAAAAGTGACCGGACACCTGAAATGTAACTTTTTTTCACCCCAGTAAAATCAATGTAATATATTTTTGTTCAATAATATTTTTTATTTTTTATTTTGAGATCATTTCATGGCACTAATTAATATTTATGCAATAATTATGATGAATTTCTGCCCATTGAAAATAATACAAAATTTAAAAAAATATATTTTTATATTACTTTTCAATGAATGCAGTATTTCATGTTAAAATAGAGTCAATGCCTTTAAAATCCCATTTTAGAAGCCAGATTAGTGCCATCTGGTGGGAGTAAAATAAGAAAAACAAATGCAATTCCATGGTTTAGCCACTAGATTCCTATATACAGTAGCTCTACATAAAAGGCCTATAAATTCTCTAATTGTTTTTAGACATAAATACTTATTTTTATTCAGTTGTGGGTTTGGATATATATTTAGACATTCTCAAAGACAACTTTTTCTAAAGGTTTAGATTTTTTTTTTTTTTAAATGTTGATTTGAAGTGTCAGTTTTTGAATTATTATCACTACAGTCAAACCTGAACACAGAGAAAGCATTTTGTTACACAAAACATTAAAATTCTATAAAAATGTAACAAAAATGAACAGAAATGTTTCAACCTTCTGGGTCTGATCTGATTTCAACCTCTTATTTCAGTTTTCCGACTCGTTTTGGCTATATGGTTATAGCCATACCAATTCATTTGAGTGTGTGTAATTGTGTGTGTGTGTGTGTGTTTATCTGTCTGTGTGTGTGTGTGTGTGTGTGTGTGTGTGAGAGCGAGTGTTTGAGGGAGTGTGTTTTGCACTCTAGATGTTTTAGTGTAACCCCTTCCTTGCCGTCCACTTTTTTTACTGCATTGTAGTTGAATTATTGCTTTTATTTTACATATTTGCTGTGTTACAGTCACACCAGTTCATAGGTGTGTGTGTATGCGTGTGTGTGTGAGTGGATGTGTTGGTTTTGCACTCTTGCTGTTTTAGAGTTTCACCCCGTCATTGCTGTGTACTTTTTTTCTGCATTGTGTCAGATTTGTAGATTGCACATTGTAGATTTTTGTCGATTTCCCATTCATTTCCTATGGTCGGTCATTTCTGACCAAAGATCACGAGTGTGTCTATTTTTTTTTACGACCACTTAAATCATGCCCTCAAATTTTGTGTGTGTTCACATTCCAAATGCCATAAAAGTCACCAAGTTTCGTACCATTCCGATGAAGATGTGATTTAAAAAAATTCAAAACAGAAAATTTTTCGTTCAAAAGTGACCGAAGAGCACCAGAGGGTTAAAACATATCTAAAAATCACACTATAACACTTTAAAATTACAATAAGCTATTCTATTAAAATAATCTCACTCACCAAGTTCTTCAGATCACTAAAGAAATGAACATCCCAGCCATCGACAAGAACTACAGGCTTCTTCTCCCCAACATACATCTACAAAAACATACACAAAATACAAAATACAGTAGTTTAGGATGTACTTAATACAATATAGAAGAATCTAGACAACATGACTTACAATAAATAATCATAAATGTTCCATTTTAACCTTTATTCACATTTTTACCTTTTATTATTTATGCTGAAATATATCAGGATTATGGAAATATCTTTTTATGGATTGATGCACTTCTAAATTACATTAAAGGAATAAACGTAGGAATGGATTTTTGCTGTTCACATGTGCTTGTACATTAATGGTTAGAGTACTGCATTAAGTGTTGTAAGAGCTGTAACCTTGCATTTAAATAATTTATTCATTAAGAAAGTTATAATGGTCCAGAAAGACACCTCTTGGAGAACTGGGATAACAGGCGGGCTTCTTTGTTGAAGGAAGTACAGCACCATTAGGGTGTAGGCATATGAAGACAGACTCCCACGGGACGCGTCACCAATATCACAGACCTGAAAACACAATCATCGCTCTCCACATCAGAAATCTGTGATGCATCTCATTCAACCCAATGCAGAAGCTTTCCTCCAAAAGCAACTTTCTTTCTCAAACTAGCTTCAAGCGCAGCCACTGATGTGTACCATCTCTACGATATTTAATGAACGTGTCGAACTTACTTTAGCGAACACTTTCATGACGTAGCAGAGGATCTTCACCCGAGCGTCAATCGCAGCGTATGATGCCAGTAACTGCGTGTTGTGCAAAGCCTGAGGAAAATCAAACGGAAAAATCTCAGTTGCTCTTTATTTGACAGTATGTGCACTTACAGCAGACTTACATCAGAAGCTAGTGAGTAATATAAGTTAACTACTTGGACTTAATATGGGTTTAAAGTGAGGTTTAAGGTTAGTACCTTGTTATTATACTAAGCACCCACTGTAATATGTAATAAATATCACTGGTTTTCATTTAAAAATATATTACATGACAAATATTTAGTAAATGTAACTGTATAAAAAACTGTATAAAAACCTAAAACTAAAATAGATTTGATTTCTCCAAACATTTCGATTAAAGGGGTCATATGATGCGATTTAAATTTTTCCTTTCTCTTTGGAGTGTTACAAGCTATTCGTGCATAGATAAGATCTCTAAAGTTGCAAAGACTAAAGTCTTAAATCCAAAGAGATATTCTTTATAAAAGTTAAGAGTCAACCACGCCTACCTAAAACGGCTCGTTCTAACACGCCCCCACATGTCTACATCACTATGTGGGAATATTTGCATAATGCCACCCAAATGTTCACGCAAAGAAAGAAGGCGTAACTTTTATTCTCGCTGTAGTATTGTTGTTGCCGCCGCCATGTCGTGGAGACGCTGTGTGTTTCTTTGTGAAAGCGAAACTACTTTGTTTGGTCTTCCAAAAGAGGACACAACTAGAAATCAGTGGTTAAGTTGTATTTACAACACAGTTCCAGAACACTTCAACCCAAATATTCAGATGTGTGTAGGGATGTAACGGTATGAAAATTTCATATCACGATTATAGTGACCAAAGTTATCACGGTTATCACTATTATCACGGTTTTGTTAACATGAGATTAAAATGTTCAAAAAGAACTGATACACACACTGAAAACATTTCAATAAGTTTTATATTTGAAAATCAACAAACAACAAATACAATTAGCAGCTATATGCACTTTTTTTTTTTAGCATAAACATTAAATTAACATTAACATGAAGCCCTAATAATAATAATAATAATAATTTTAAAAAATCACAGCTTTGCGTTAATTACAAGTGAGATAACGAAATATTTAATCTCTAATCAATATTTTTTGTCCAATTATTTGCCCAGTTAGTTTTGGTATTGAGGTAAAAGTTACCTTGCATTCGCTATATAACAGTGGGTGGTGGTCATGAAGATGACTGAGCAAATTTGACACCTTTTGCAGTGACTTTCTTCTTGCAAGATCGGCAGACAGGGTGACCGTCCTCGATTAAACTGCCTTCAGGACTCTTGTAAAAGCCAAAATACGATCAGACCTCCGATTTGGTCCTCTTAGATGGCTGAAAAATCTCCCGAGTGCTGTCACTGCCTTCCACCATTTCGTCTCGTGCAAAAAAACAACAACAACATTGCATGCTGCTTCTGCGTCAGACTAATGCTGGCTGGACAGGATTTACAGCGAGTTTTCAAAATCACAATAATCAAACACGGTTTTGATGATAATTAAATTTTAAACGATAATACTAACCGTCAGGGCATTTTATCATGATTTATCGTAAAACCGGTAATCGTTCCATCCCTAGATGCGTGCAACGCATTTTATGGAGGACTGTTTCCTGATCCTGTGAGAGTAGCCTACAATGCCGGTGTTCCAGTGAATTCAGTTCCCTTGTTTCCCCTTCGGCACGCATGCTGACCCTATACAGTCTATGATGCTGACAAATAATGCTGACTCACAGACTGTAAGTACGTTTTCATATTTAAAGAATTTGCCACTGATGATTCAAACG